AGATAGGATCTCTGTCTAGGGTTTGTTCGTTTTAGTTTGGCAGGGTGACTCAGATACATGCGTGGGTTGTTGAGCTCGGAAGCAGGTTAGAAGGTCTTGTCACACTATCTTTTTGTTAATTGGTGTCGATATAGCGATGTTTCAATTAGTGATTGGGGTTAACCTTGAGATTTGCCTAACCAAGAGATTGTTAAATCAATTTTGTATTTTGTGCGAGATTTCTTTGTCCATTGGGAAGTTGGGTTATCGCCGGACAACATACATTGGGCGGATAGATTTGACTCAGAATAAGTTTGCCTACTTTCATTTTCTGTGTTATGAAATTCTCATCTTTTTTGATTCCCTTTCGTTTATGTGGAGATGTACATTGCAATTGTATTATGAATTTACAGGATTAAGGTGGTTGATTTGAGTCAGACATGGCTATTTGGTGGTCTATCTTTTTGGGAGGTTTTCATCTCTATAAAAATTCAGAAGTAAGTTTGTGAGCATGACAACCATTCAGTGTAGTTGTCATTCTTTCAGGATTGGCGTTGGGAAATGTGTACCTGGGTAGTTGGGGTTCGAGGACTTTGTGGTGAACGTTCTTTAAGCAATTGCAGAGGATTTGTTGGTATTTAAGTTTTTATCGAGGCTTATGTGTGATTTCTCCTGATTTAGTGGATTTTCTGACTGCGTTGGATCTTTACGTTGGTTTTCTTGTTCCTCAGTATGAGTGGGGTTTCCTTAGTTGGCATGTATTGGGAGGTTTTATTTCACATGAAACAAGTTTTATGTTCCTTATTGTTTTTTGTTCTTGAATTGCTTCCCTTTACTTTTCCTTTCGTTTCCCTTTCTATACAGGATTTAGACGTTCTATTTGATCTGTCATGATGGCCATCCAGATGTCCTTGTCAACGGGGGGTTATATTCAAATTTAAGTTTTCAAGCTTGTACGATCATTGGGAATCTGTATATTACAGGGTCTTAGTCTTGGTTATAATGTTTGCTTTTTGGTTTGGGGTGTGCATCCGATAGCGTGGTTGCGAGGACTGGATGGAGGTTTGAGGGTTTTATTGTGCCCCTTTCTTTTTTACTAATTAGAGTGGATTTAACGAAATTTAATTCAATGTTAAATCTGATATCTTGCTTTTTATTTATATTAGAAATGTAATTTTTTGTATCGGTGTTGAATCTGTTTAATGGTTTTCATATTCACCAGGAATATTCAATGTTCGTTGGCGTTGAGATATTTAGTGGAACTATGTGACGAACAATAAGTTCTTTTCGATTCCTGTCTTTAATGTTCCCAAATGTCTTTTATCTTTCCTTCTTTTTCTTCTACACACATTGTGAATGTGTTATGATTCTGCAGGATCAGGGAGGTTGATTTTAGTTGGAGGTGGCTACTCGTATGTATATGTCATAAGGGCTTTTTTATGCTCATGAATATCCGACTGTATGTTTACAAACATGAAGATCATTGGCGAGAGTTATGTGAGATTTACTTGCGTTGTCATTGCTTGTTGGGTGGCGGTGTGACATTGATAGAAAGAATGTTGAGGTTGGGCGAAGGTTTTTAGATTTTGTTAGTCCACCTTCATTTTGTAAATTAAAGTGGATCTAGTGATCTTTAAATCAGTTTTAAGTTTTAGCTTTGCTTTCTCTCTGAACTAGGGGCTTTTATGTCTGCATTGAATCTTTTTGTTGTTTTTGTTGTTCATTAGGGAAATTGGATGTTCCTTCGCTTGCATATATTTGGTGGATCCTTTTCCCGAAGAATAAGTTCTCCTATTCTTCATTTTTCCCTGAAATTCTAATTTTTTGTAATATTTTTTACATGCATACATGCATTGCAAGCTTGTTTTCAATATACAAGATTAAAAGGTGAATTCGATCATTAAACACATCACCGGGGGGGGGGGTTATATTACCAATTCAAATTTAAGATTAAAAGCATGACAAGCATGTAATATATATAGTATCCTAATCTAGCTAACATTCATTTTAGGCTGGTGGTGCGACTCCTATACTAGGGCGGCCGAGAATGTGTGGAGGTTTGATGGTTTTTTTACACTTCTTTCTTTTTGTTAGTTAGAGCCGATTTAGGGATCTTCAAATTAGTGTTGGGACTCTATATGGAATTCTGTCTAAATAAGGTCTTCAAATCACAGAATCCTATTGTTGTTTTTCTGATAATTTGGGAGATTGGGTAATCGCTGGTTTGGATATCTTTGGTGGGTCGTCTTCATTCTCGATAGTTTTTCCCTGTTTCCTTTCTTTTCTTTTTTTTTTGTTGATTTTGAGTTGGTCATCTTTTTTCTTTTTATTTACTCTTGTGTTGGTGATGAATAGCATTGAWAATTTAATATGRATTTACAGGATTTGGACGGATGATTCAAGTCGGACGAGGCTATTTGCGTTCCTCTCTCCTAGTTATGATTCATTTTAGGTTGAGGGTTTGAAATGGAAACTTGGGTTATTGAGGCTTGAGGCAGGTCTCGCGATTTTGAAACACTACATTCATTTTGTTTTGCATAGGGTTTTTCATATTTAAATTAGTGTTTTAAGGTTTTGATTACACAGTTTATTGGAGTGGAATTAATGATCTTTGCTGTATCATTGTCAAAACTTAGTTTTCATTTCTTTGTTTTATATGTTTTGAAATGAATGCTGAATTTTTGGATGGTTTTCTTGTTTTTCAAGAAGATACAATGTTCCTTAGBTTGAATATATTCGGTGGTTTTAATGATGAATAATTTCTTCCAAATTCCTAACTTTTTTACTCCAAAATGACTTGTCTTTTTTGTTTTCCCTCTTATTTTATTCATTACATACATTCAAATGTGTTATGAATCGGTACAGGATTCGCAACGCAGAGTTCAATTGTATATGACTTTTCAAATGTCCATCTCATGRGGGAATTTTACGGTTATGCATATTCTAATTAAAAGTTAATTGCTTCTGTCACCAGGGTTTTTTTTTATGGTTATTCATATTTCAATTAAAAATTATAAGCATGAATATAGGATCTTAGTCTACTAAATATTCCATGTAGGGTGGCAGTGTGAATTCGATGGCAAGGATGTTTAGGTTTGGCGAGGGTTTAAAGATTATCTGAAGCTAGTTTCCTTTTGTTAATTACAACTAGTCTATATATCTTTAAATCCATTGTCAGGGAGATTGGGTGTCTTTTGGAATGCAAATATTTTGAAGATCGAATTGGTGAAAAATAAGTTCTCCTAATTTCCTAAGTATTTTCTTCCCATATTCGTAACCATTTTACGCCTTCTTAAATGGATACATGCATTGTAAGCTTGTTTTCAATTTACAGGATTGGAAGGTCAATTTCGGCAGGACCTGCTWTTTAGAAGTCTCAATGATAATGGGGTTATCATGTTTATCCATATTCTGAATTAGGTTTATGATCATGGCAAAAATTGAGAAGATAGGATCTCWGTCTAGGGTTTGTTCGTTTTAGTGAAACTATGTGACGAACAATAAGTTCTTCTAGATTCCCGTCTTTTATGTTCCCAAATGTCTTTTATCTTTCCTTCTTTTTCTTCAACACACATTGCGAATGTGTTATGATTCTACAGGATCAGGGAGGTTGATTTTAGTTGGAGGTGGCTACTCATATCTATGTCATAAGGGCTTTTTTATGGTCATGAATATCTGACTGTATGTTTACAAACATGAAGATCATTGGCGAGAGTTATGTAAGATTTACTTGCGTTGTCATTGCTTGTTGGGTGGCGGTGTGACTTTGATAGAATGTTGAGGTTGGGCGAAGGTTTTTAGATTTTGTTACTCCACCTTCATTTTGTAAATTAAAGTGGATCTAGTGATCTTTAAATCAGTTTTAAGTTTTAGCTTTGCTTTCTCTCTGAATTAGGGGCTTTTATGTCTGCATTGAATCTTTGTGTTGGTTTTGTTGTTCATCAGGGAAATTGGATGTTCCTTGGCTTGCATATATTTGGTGGATCCTTTTCACGAAGAATAAGTTCTCCTAATTCTTAATTTTTCCCCGAAATTCTAATTTTTTGTAATATTTTTTACATGGATACATGCATTGCAATCTTGTTTTATGTTTAAAAGCATGACAAGCATGTAATATATATAGTATCCTAATCTAGCTAACATTCATTTTAGGCTGGCAGTGCGACTCCTGTACTTGGGCGGCCGAGAATCTGTGGAGGTTTGATGGTTTTGTTACACTTCTTTCTTTTTGTTAGTTAGAGCCGATTTAGGGATCGTCAAATTAGTGTTGGAACTCTATATGGAATTCTGTCTAAATAAGGTCTTCTCTAATTATAGTGAATCCTATTATTGTTTTTTTGATCATTTGGGAGGTTGGGTAATCGCTGGTTTGCATATCTTCGGTTGGTCGTAGTCATTCTCGATAGGTTTTCTCTGTTTCCTTTTTTTTCTTTTTTTTTCTTTTTTGTTTTTGAGTTGCTCATCTTTTTTTTTTTATTTCCTTTTGTGTGGTGATGAATAGCATTGAAAATTTAATATGGATTTACAGGATTTGGACGGATGATTCAAGTCGGACGAGGCTATTTGCATTCCTCTCTCCTAGTTATCATTCAATTTAGGCCGAGGGTTTGAAATCGAAACTTGGGTTATTGAGGCTCGAGGCAGGTCTCACGATTTTGAAACACTACATTCATTTTGTTATTTGCATAGGGTTTTTCATATTTAAATTAGCGTTTTAAGGTTTTGATTACACAGTTTATTGGAGTTGAATTAATGATCTTTGTATCATTGTCAAAGCTTAGTTTTCATTTCTCTTTGTTTTATAGGTTTTGAAATCAATGCTGAATTTTTGGATGGTTTTCTTGTTTTTCCGGGAGATACATTGTTCCTAGCTTGAATATATTCGGTGGTTTTAATGATGAATAATAACTTCTTCCAAATGTGTTATCTGAAGCTAGTTTCCGTTTGTTAATTACTACTAGTTTATATATCTTTAAATCCGTGTTGTGTTTTGTTTTGATTTCTCTCGGAATGTGAGCCTTTATCGAAATAAGCATTTAGTCTTTGTGTTGGTTTTGTTGTTTGTCAGGGTGATTGGGTGTCCCTTGGAATGCAAATATTTTGAGGATCGATTTGGTGAAAAATAAGTTCTCCTAATTTCCTAAGTATTTTCTTCCTATATTCCTAACCATTTTATGCCTTCTTAAATGGATACATGCATTTTAAGCTTGTTTTCAATTTACTGGATTGGAAGGTCAATTTCTGCAGGACCTGGCTATTTAGATGTCTGAATGGTAATGGGGTTATCATGTTTATCCATATTCTGAATTAGGTTTATGATCATGGCAAACATTGAGAAGATAGGATCTCAGTCTAGGGTTTGTTCGTTTTAGTTTGGCGGGGTGACTCAGATACATGCATGGGTTGTTGAGCTCGGAAGCAGGTTAGAAGGTCTTGTCACACTATCTGTTTGTTAATTGGTGTCGATATAGCGATGTTTCAATTAGTGATTGGGGTTAATCTTGAGATTTGCCTAACTAAGAGATTGTTATATCAATATTGTATTTTGTGCGAGATTTCTTTGTCAATTGGGAGGTTGGGTTATCGCCGGACAACATACATTGGGCGGATAGATTTGACTCAGAATAAGTTTTCCTAGTTTCCTATCATTTTCTGTTTTATGAAGTTCTCATCTTTTTTTTTTTCCTTTTGTTGATATGGAGATGTACATTGCAATTGTATTTTGAATTTGCAGGATTAGGGTGGTTGATTTGAGTCAGACACGGCTATTTGGTGGTCTATCTCTTCGGGAGGTTTTCATCTCTATAAAAATTCAGAAGTTTGTGAACATGACAACCATTCAGTGTAGTTGTCATTCTTTCAGGATTGGCGGTGTGAAACGGGTACCTGGGTAGTTGGGGTTCGAGGACTTTGTGGTGAACGTTCTTTAGGCGATTGCAGAGGATTTATTGGTATTTAAGTTTTTATCGAGGCTTATGTGTGATTTCTCCTGATTTAGTGGATTTTCTAACAGCATTGGATCTTTACGTTGGTTTTCTTGTTCCTCAGTATGATTGGGGTTTCCTTAGTTGGCCTGTATTGAGTGGTTTTATTTCACACGAAACAAGTTTTATTTTCCTTATTGTTCTCTGTTCTTGAATTCTTTACTTTTCTTTTCCTTTTCTATACAGGATTTAGACTATCTATTTGGGCTGTCATGGCCATCTAGATGTCCTTGTCATGGGGCTTATATTCAAATTTAAGTTTATAAGCTTGGACGATCATTGGGAATCTGTATATAGGGTCTTAGTCTTAGTTATAATGTTTGCTTTTAGGTTTGTGGTGTGAATCCAATAGCGTGGTTGCGAGGACTGGATGGAGGTTTGAGGGTTTTATTATGCCTCTTTCTTTTTTACTAATTACACTGGATTTAAAGAAATTTAATTCATTGTTAAATCTGATATCTTGCTGTTTATTTATATTAGAAATGTAATTTTTTTTATCGGTGTTGAATCTTTGTGATGGTTTTCATATTCACCAGGAAGATTCAATGTTCGTTGGGTGTTCCTTGGCTTGTATATATTTGGTGGATCCATTTCACGAAGAATAAGTTCCCCTAATTCTTAATTTTCCCCCGAAATTCTAATCTTTTTATTAATCTTTTTTACATGAATACATGCATTGCAAGCTTGTTTTCTATGTACAGGATTAAAAGGTGAATTTGAGCATGAACATATCACGGGGGGGTTTATATACAAATTAAAGTTTAGGTTTATAATCATGAAAATCATGTAGTGTATATAGGATCTTAATCTAGCTTACATTCATTTTAGGTTGGCGGTGCGACACCCGTACAAGGGCTGTTGAGACTTAGTGGATGTTTGACGGTTTTGTTACACTTCTTTCCTTTTGTTAATTAGAGTCGATTTAGTGATCTTTAAATTAGTGTTTGGGCTCTATATTGAATTCTGTCTAACTATGAGCTTGTCAAATCATTCTGAATCCTATTGGTGGTTTTTCTGATCATTTGGGAGATTGGGTTACCGCTGGCTTGCTTATATTGGGTGGGTCGTCTTGATTCTCAGTTGGTTTTCCCAGTTTCTTGTGTTTCTTTTCTTGTTTTTGAGTTGCTCATCTTTTTTATTTCCTTTTGTGTTAGTGATGACTAGCGTTGCAAGTTTAATATGGATTTACAGGATTTGGACGGATGACTAGCGTTGTAAGTTTAATAACTATCTCCTAATTATTCATTGTTGAAGGTGTGAAATCGACTTCTGGGTTATTGAGGTTCGATGCAGGTCTCGTGACGATAAATTTCAATTGGACATGGCCATTAATTGAAATCGATATCATTCTTTTTTTTTCCTTATATTTATCATCTTTAGTATTTGGGCGATAAATTTCAATTGGACGTGGCCATTCAGCCATTCAGATGTCCATCTCATAAGGGGGTTATCATGGTTATTGATGTCCAAATTTGAGTTTGTAAGCATGACGATCATTGAGAATATGATATCAAGGTTGATGAGATTAGATTGAGGTTTGAAGGTTTTATTCCAAAGCCTTCTTTTTGTTTATTAGAGTGTATTTAACGATCTTTAAATCAATGTTAAATCTCAGATTTTATTTCTCTTTGAATTATGATTTTTTTAATCAACGTTGAATCTTTGTGATGATTTTCCTTGTTCAACAGGAATACCCAATGTTCCTTGGCTTGCTTATATTGGGTGGTTCTATTTGACGAAGAATATGTTGTTGTAAATTCCTATCTTTTATGTTCCCAAATGTCTTATCGTTTTTTTCCCTGATTTTATTCTGTGCGCACATTTCAAATGTGTTATGAATCTACTTTCATAAGGTGCTTTGATTTGGACATGGTTATGCCGATGTCTATTTCTTTCGTGGTTGTACAAAATTCCAAATTCAAATTTGAATTTAAGTTTATAAGCACAATTATGAAATATGTTGTAAATTCCTATCTTTTATGTTCCCAAATGTCTTGTTTTTTTCCCTGATTTTATTCTGTGCGCACATTTCAAATGTGTTATGAATCTACTTTCAGACGGTGATTTGATTTGGACATGGTTATGCAGATGTCTATTTCACACGGTGGTTTTCGTGGTTGTACAAAATTACAAATTCAAATTTAAGTTTATAACCACAATTATCATTGATAAGTTTTTTATAGGGTCTTAGTCATTATTATTCCTTTTGGGTTTTGTGGTGTGAATTTGATACGCTTAGTTTTGATTTCTCTCTGAATTAGAGGATTTTAATTCAACATTGAATCTTTGTGTTGGTTTTCTTGTTCATCAGGGTGATTGGGTGTTCCTTTGCTTGCATATATTAGGTGGACCTATTTGTTGAAAATAAATTCTCTTAATTTCCTGTCTTTTTTTGTTCTTGAATTTCTTATCTCTCTCTTTTTTTTTTCCTTTTTCATATAGATACATAGTTAGCTAGCTTGTTTTTTATTTACAAGATCCAGATGGTTGATTTGATCTGCACATGGCTATTCAGATATCTATGTCATAAGGGGATTCCTGTCTTGAGGAATGGAAATAATGTGCACTGGGTGGGTGAAAAGGAATGCTAATTCCTTTGCTGTACATTAGAAAAGAAAGGGGTGGGAATGGATCATTTAATTTGGGTTGTACTGTAGTTTTATCTGCACTTGGAGAGCTAAGAGAGTTTAATAAAGAAAGAGATAGATTGAAATTATAAAGAAAAGAATAAAATATATATATATATTAAATTATAAATATATATTTTAATAAATATTATATTATTTATATTTTATATAATATATAAAATACATATTATATATTTTATAAAATATATAATACTGAGTCGGGCCGGGCTTTTTTGACAAATCCCGAGCCCGGCCCGGCCCGAAACACAGTCGGGCTTACTGTGTTAAGCCCGAGGTCAGGCCCACGGGCCGGGCCGGGCCGTTGGGCTACCCTGCCCATGAACAGATCTAATTGTTAGTCTTGTTAGGTTGGGTGTGAATACGATACCAGGCCTGTTAATGTTGGATGGTGGTACGATGATTTTTTATGCCACTTTCTTTTTGTTAATTATTGTGAATACGATACCAGGCCTGTTAATCTTAGTCTAGTTGTTAGTCTACGTGTTGGTTTTCTTGTTCATCAAGCTTATTCGGTGTTCCTTGTCTTGCGTATATTAGATGGATCTATTTTATGAAGAATAAGTACTCCTAATTTCCTGTCTTTTTCTGTTCCTGAATTTCTTATCTTCTGTTTTTTTTTTTTTCCTTTTCTCATATGGATACATACATTGCAAGTTTGCTATGAATTTACAGGATCGGGATGGTCCATTTGAGCTGGACATGGTTTTTCAGATACCTATCTCATAAAGGGGTTTTCATGGTTTTGCAAATTCAAATTTAAGTTTACAAGCATGACGATCATTGAAAAGTTCTACATTCTTTTTAGGTTGACAGTCTGAATCCAATACCAGGGCTTTGAGGTTGGATGGAATTTTGAAGATTTTGTTATGCCACTTCTTTTTTGTTAATTTGAGTGGATTTAACTTTTAGCAATCATGCATTCATTTATTCATCTTCCCTGTACCTTATGTGGTGTTGTTTGGTTATGTTAAATTCTTATTCTACGGATTTGACGTTAGCACCATCAAAATTTTCACCTTTGGTTGGTACGTTGTTTTTTAAAATTTTATTTGTTTTACCATGTAATTTCTTTCATTTCTCACTGTTAGTAATTTTTAATATTAAAAAACAAACGATTTCTGTGTTTTAATGAGGATGAAAAAAATATTCAAGCTAGAATTTTTCAGTTGTTTGTCTTTTTGGAAAATATACTTAATTTGACATGTTATATGCATATTCATTTTCAGAACTACGTTGTGCATGTGTATTATGTCTTTTTGGTGAAAAAGATAAGATAGGCAATGGTTCGCAGCTCCTCTATTGTGGGTTTCACTTGTCTTTAGTTGGTTTTAGGAATGTCGATTGTTCACGATCATTGGTTATTTGCATCAGATTGCGTTAGAATCTGGACCATTACTCTTTCCGTTTTGCGTTAGAATCTGGACCATCACGATCATTGTTTTTGCATTATATTGCATTAGTTAGCATCAAGACACAATCTGTTTTTGTTTTGATTGGGAGTGGAATGATCATTGCTCTGAGCATTTGTGGAGTTCTGCATGGTTTTTGTGGGTGCTGAGATCTAAACTAGATTTTTAGTTTGGATTCTTTTTTGATATGATGTTAAGTTTGTTTTGATATGTAGTCTTGATTTCTCTCTGGTTGAGCAGTCTATATCTTTGAATTAGTTTGCTTATTTGTGACTGAGTTTTTTGGATGAATTTTCTGGTTTAGATAGACAGATTGCAAGTTCTTGTATTGGTATTTGGAATTCAGAAGGTTTATTTGAACTTGATTGGGCTTATAGATGCCTAATTCATAAGGTGGTTCTTACGGCTGCTTAGATTTCTATTTAAAGTTTTATGCGTGATATTTGAGAAGATCTACATGGTATCTCAATCTATTTATTGATTTTTCAGGTGAGCTGGAAAATTTGTCGTCACAAAACCTTTTAGGTTGGCTTGAGGTTTTGCTATTTTTTGTCAAGAAATTACAGTCATGTATTTATTATCTGTAATATTGGGTGGTAAAGATTGGATATTATTTGAGCGTCTGCTTGTTTGCGTCCTCTAGTTAACTTTTGTGGTTACAATTTAGGAGGACTGAATTAGGCTTGGCTTGGCATTGGCACTATGAAAGTTGTCTTTGGCTGTGGTTTATTTTAGTTTTTAGGATTATTTTGTTACCCATTACTTGCTACACTATCGACTACAGTTATTTGTTTCTCTGTTTTTTTTACTATTTTGTTCAGATATTTTTTTTGCTCATATTTTTGCTATGTTTAGAACCTTTCCGATATGGTAAGGCCTTTTTATGTGTGTGGGCATCTTATTGTTGTTAAATTACTTTGTTCTATTTTGGCTCTCTAATGCAAAAAGCTGGTTCTATTTATTTTCTTTTGTGCTTAGATGAACGAATTGCAGACTTCCCAAGAACAAAGGAAATTCTTTAAGATAATGTTAGTTGCAATGTGTCTGATCAATCACATTACTAAATCTTAGGTTCTTGCTTTTCAGCCCCTCTATTTCTCTTGCAGTTTGATCCGACTTGCAATGGTTTTTTGAAATCCTGTTTAATCGTGGTCATTGTTTATTTGGATTAGATTATATTGGAATGAAGTTCTGTTTGTTTTCTAGTTTGATTGGCCACAATCATTATTCTTTTGCACATCGTTTTGTTGGTTCTTGGCTTTTGATAGTGCCGTGGTCATATGGATGGGATTGCGTTGGACTTTTTCTTTGGTTATGACTTTCAAATGAATGTTGATACTTTTGTTTTCATTTTTCTCTAATTTAGGTTGTGTTTGGATAAGCTACAGGTTTGTGTTTTCAAAGTCCAATAAAAGCACAAAACCTCAACTTTAGGCTTTGTGATTTGGGGCTTAAAATTTTTTTGTCTTCAGATTATAATGTTTTTAAAATAAATTCTTACCAAATGCTCAAGACATTTTTTTGGCTCAAATTTGTTTTCCAAAGCCCAAAGCTCAAAAGTAAAAGCTTATCCAACAAGGCCTTAGTCGTTTCTAGAGCAGCTTTTGAATCTTGAATTGTTTTTTTTTTTTTTTCATTTCACCTTATTTTCTTATCTCTGTTTTATTCCTGAATTTATCCGTGCCTTATTCCTTTTAGGGAGAATGACGGTTCAGCCCAGGGTCAGAAATTTTAGGCCCAAAGTACAGTTGGGGTAGGTGTCAGCTCGGAATTGATGCTCATTCATGGGCGGGCATTGAATGTTTATTTAGATTCCTATTTAAGTTTTCGTGGTTATTTGGATAAATATATGGGAAGTGATTTGATCAGTGGGTTTTCGTGGTTATTTAGATTCCTATTTAAGTTTTGTACCAAGTCTATTATCCCGTAGGTTTGCTGTGGATTCTACATAGGCTCTTGGCTCACTTCACAAAAGAAGGGTATCCCAATAAGTCTTATAATGACTTATTTGTGGATTCTACGTAGGCTCTTGGCCCATTCATCAAATTTTTTTTAGCATTTTTGATTTTGTATTGATTTATATTTGACATGGCTGTTAAAAGTAGCCCAATCAGATAGGGGACTTTAAGGTGGTGCTGAGCTGGCTGGAGAGAAAAAATAAGGGTTCGTGGATGCTTCAACAGCTGATAAGAGAATCCATTGCATTGGCATCCAATGTGAATTGCTCATTCAAATCAAGACCTGATCAACTAGGGAACGGCCTTTATGGGGGATTCTAGGTTTGGGCACTGATGTAAATCTGAGACAACAGACTCGAGTCAAAACCAAGCATGTACTGTTTCCCTTTTATCCTCCTGGATATAGTCATTCTAGATTTGACATGGCTGCAGTGGTAAGTTGTAGTGGAAGTGCTTGAGCATACAGACTCTTGCATATATGTATTTTTCTATTATTATTCATTACAAGTTCTTTATAGACCGGTTTATGTCGGTGATATTTTCTCTTATTATTCATTGCATATATGTATTTGACATCAATGTTTGAAGTGGGTGGCGAATTTCATTGCAATCAAACATTATAATGCGGTTCCAATCTATGAAGGGAAGGTTTTGCTGTGGTTCTAATTTGGATATTTCATTCTTTTCTTTTCCCATTCTCCTTTTTTTTCTATTGGACTCTGAACGTGGTTTACAAGCTAATCGTGAAGACCATGGTAAACAGATTGAAGTATACGCTCGGTTCATCTCTAAGTTTCAGCACACCTTTTCTCCCTGTCGTCAAATTGTTGGACCTGGTCCATTTACTCGTATTGGACCAAATCCAGTCCAATTGACACCCCTATAACTATGAGTATGCATCAACCACCTAACGTTCGTAGATGATCTTATTTTTGTAAGAAAGTGACGCTTCATTAAAGCTCTTGAGCTGTGGTGGCTTCTCGGTTTATATTGTTCGTGATCTGGGTAATTTGTAAACTATCAAAAATCATGAATTCTTTTTTTTACGTCCAGTACTCGTCATCGCCACCTCTCTTCCTCTCTCTCCTTGGAGTAATACCTATTGGCAGCAACAAGAAATATCTTGGCCAGCCTTTGTCACAGTGGTTAGAAATTTCCGATGGGCTTTCCATGAAGAGGGGAAGAAACAAGCACGTATTTTTTGACGGGCCTTGTTAGATGTATTGCCTACAAATGGAACAATGCATATTGAAGTTGATACGGAGGTTTCTGTCAGATCCTAACTCTCAGTGGGTGCATGTTGTTGAAGGCTGAACGTGAAAGTATTCTTCATTTCTTGTTTCAATGCCCTGTTGCCAAGGCGATGTGGTTTGCTTCTCCTTGGCTATTCACACTAATGATTGGGCCTCTCGATCTCTAGATGACTGGAACTTGAGCTGGTTTAATGTGTCGTCTTCCTTTGACAGATTTGGAAACACGGAAACAATGTCATATTCAATAATTATCAGCCCAACCCGAGCACAGTTCTCGCCTTTGCCCAAGCCTATGTTGCATTCCTACTATCCGACCCCTAGGCTCTGCTCTGGCAAGACACAAAATAGTGACTGTCACCCCTGCTGCTTGAGTTTACCACTAGCTTCGCCCCCTAGAGACCTTCAACAAAATGAACAAGGACGTTGCCTACTCCCGTGGTTATTTGCGACTCTGCTAGTTCATGTCTTGTGCCAAGATTGTTGATGTGTTACCTCACTGCCTCCCTCTGCGTCATTGAAGGTGATGCTTTGGAGATCGTTAGGGTTCTCTGTGAACCCTCTTGGACTCTTGCTGGCAAGCTTTGTATTTGGGTCAGTCCGACTCTTGGACTAGTCCTCATAATTTTATTGTCCCTGATCTTATGGCTGGGTGTAGTGAGATTAGGATAAGCATGATGGTTGATGGTTGAATGAAATTTTCTCTATTAAAAAAAATCAAGCTTATCCTAATCTTCATTAATTGTTAACACACATGATGGTTTAGGATAATATTAGAGGAGTTTATGTTTATCATGTTTCTCTGGAGAGTTCTGTTCTTTATTTTATCTCCCATGGAATTGTAACCCATCACAAATTCTTTAACACTATATAAACAACTTGGGTTTGGCTTAGATTAATCACCACCGAACCTTACAGTTTTACTTTACTTTTGTTCTTGTTCTCTCTTGTTTTAACTCGGATTATGATTTATGTGTACGAACAATATGATCCCATGATATATTTGAAGTTATTTGATTTCCACCTTGTTTAGAACTTTAGATTAGATCTTTCATTTGGTTATAGATTGGACCAAAACTCATGGCCCTTACTTACGTGGGAATCTGATACTGTGGTGCCTTTATCTCCTTATTCCAATTTGGGTTAACCTAAACCTTAAATTTTGTTGAAAACTGTTGACTTGTTTAGTGACGTGCTGACCAATGCTGTTGAATAGTTGACACATGTCATAAGTTATCTATATTATATGAAGCGATGCTTGCATTGGTTTTGGTACAGATCATAAAAGTTAAATTTCTTATATTTTTGTCCTTTATTTATACACATACCATGTGTCATACATTATAAATTATAGAAAATTTTTAAAGCTCATAATTTTGTGCTTGATGGTTGGATTGGGGTGGTTTTTTTAACTTTCAACAATTTATGTGATGCAAGGAGTTGAAGGCACCTTAGCTGTTAGCCCACTATTTATACCAAAAAACTCCTTTATGCAGAATGATTGTATGTTTATATATGCAGAATAATGTCAAGGGTAATCCATTGAACCGAACTGTTGAACCATTGACCCATGACCTGAAAAAAAAAAAAGCCTTGCGTCAGCATTCAGCATTTCAGCCCCAAGGTTGAGTCCGGTTTGACTATCGGGCTTAGATCTTGAGCAGCCCCAAGCTTGAGTCTGGTTTAACTATTGGGCTTAGGTCTTGAGCCCAAGCATAGACCTTGTATAAATTTCGAAGCCCAACTAGGAAATTGAAAAAAGAAAAAGATTTTTTTTACGCAACAACAAAACTGATTTATTTATATTAAATGATTTTAAAACCCAAAAAATATTGAAAGATCTTACAATGGCTTGAGAAAAGAGAAGAATAGATGGTGCTACACTGGATTTGATGAATAGTGTGTATTCATTCAGTCTCATGCGATGCACATCCAATCAAGAATCAGCTTATGATGCACTAGATCTATATATTTGCTCTTCAGTTATCAATTGGGGTTTGTTTGTTTTTTGGATTTTGAGAGGGGGGAAATTTCGTCAATGGGATTTTGGTTTTGATTAATCAAGAAATCAATGTTATTTTTACAAATTTATGTGTAGTTTATGGAAAATTTTTTCCCTAAGGCTCCATTTGGTTTGTGGGATGGGAATGGGAAAAGAGGAATATTCCTAAATGAGGCCCCGTTTGGTTTGTCTTTTCGCACGGGCTGTCGGCTTTTTAGAAGCTTGGCAGCTTGCACTTTGGTCTTTTCTCGTTTGGTTGGGAAAAGATTTAGCCACCAAAAGCCATAGCCCTTAAAAGACACAGGAAACTCATTTCTGACTATTTTCGAGAAGCTCCAAATGAAGCTTTTTGCCTTTTTTTTTCAACTAGTCTTTGTGCAAATAGACATGCCTTAACAAAAAGGTCTTCAAGTTAATAAGATCTTGATGCAAAAGCTCACATCATCTTTTGACTGTCAAAGTTTTCAAAAGATCTTTCAAATAAAACTTGCCAAACGGCCCTAATATCTTTTTCCATGTTTGATTTGTTGGGATATAGCAGTTTGGGATGAGAAAAGAATAAAATGTGGGACCCAAAAAACAAGTGAGTAGATCCCACCAAAATAATGCAACCCCGATGAGAAAATGAAAAAAAGTGAGGCGCCTCTGAGAAAAATAATCGGGCTTTGTTAGACTTGGAACTTGAGAGTCTCTTCTCCCGTTCTCCTTTCAGCCCAGCATCTCAACAATCATACCTTTAACGGCTTTTCCGGTAACCTCGCGCAAAGGTAAGACTAGATCTATAACCCTCTTGCAGCAGTGAGCCATTTTCACTATTTTTTTATATGTTTTGATGCATACGAAGGTATCCTCATTGTTGTGGTAGTCTTATAATGATTGGACCTCCTGTCATCTTCCTCACTATTTCCGATAAGGAGAAATTTCATTCTCCTTGTGCAGTCGAGACTTACATTTTTTTCTTTTTCTTATGTTATTATTCTTTTTGGGTAAGTATCTTTGAGCGTAGGAACAACCAAAGAAGACTATTGTTTACTATTTTCCAAAACAACAAGAGACTTGCCACCATTTCCACCTCTCAGGGAGAACAATGCAACTTCGAGACCCAAATCAACCTCAGGTCCACTAGCCCTAGAGAAAACCCATTTCCCAGAACCATCAATAATGTCAGAGAATCCCCTCTTAGCCGTGACCTAAAAACAAAATTTTTCAGTACATCAAGTGAGTAGTTGTTGTTATACTCCACCGTCCTTCCCAAGAGGGAAACTCCAACCCCAACATTAGCCTTCCTCTCATGAGACTCAGAACTACGCAACCCAAGTCTGAGCTTAGTTTCTTTGAGGTTAAGTGCATTTTTCTTCTCCTCCTCTTCGATATAGTGGAGGAGGAAGAAGAAATCTTCTCATAGCCTTCCATGGAAAACAACTTCTATAAGCCTATGTAAGCATGTTCTAAGGGCTTAGACATTAAACTTCAACACTTGAGAGAAAAAAAACTAGGAGCATAAAAAGAATATGCACAAGAAGAAGAGAAGAAGAGAAGAAGAGATTATTTGAACCAGATTCGAGAGAGAATAGTTCTTGTATTCTAACCTGTTTTCATTTCTTCTGAAATGAGTCAATTGTATTCTGAAATGTGTATTAGGGTTTTCTTTTAGTTTGCTTTTCTACAGAAAGAGGTATTGACATTTTTGCTTATAGAAGTTATTTCATGAATTTGTTTGGGCATTAGAAATTGATTTTGTTTTACCTTTTCTTTCTTAGAGTTTTACATATTTTCATGTGATCTATAAATATCGATTACTCTCAATCAACATAATTGATTATTGGAAACTATTCAAACTGTTTCTTTATTTTTCTGATTCAATTCTGTAATGTTAGATAGGGGGTGAGCAAAAAAAATACCGAACCGACCTAAGCCGAACAAAAAATTTGGTTAACCAAACCGGTTGGTTCGGTTTCAGGTAACCAAAATAGAAAATCAGCGGTTAACCAAACCGACCAGTATACATATATTTATATATATTATGTATATTATATTTTCTATACATTATAAATTAATAAATATGCATTATGTGTATATATATATTTATAATATATAATATATTATTTATTATTTAAAATATAATATTATATATATTTCTAGTTTTTTATATATTTATATATTTTCTGTAATAAATATTGTAAATAATAAAAAACTGAAAAATTGATGAACCGAACCGATCAGCTTCGGTTCAGTTTTGGTTATTGGTTTTCCAAAAACCGATAACCCCAAACCGAATTGTGAGCACCCCTAATGTTAGATTTTTTTTCCTTTTCTTTTGTTGTTGTGACTCCTTTAATTATCTAATCATCTATCTCTCTACTATTTGTATTTCCTTTTTATTCTGTACTTTTACTTTGTGAGAATATTAGACTTGCCCAAAAACCACTAATCCTATTTTGGGACCACCAAAGTATCAAAATCCACAGATGAAGTTGACCAAAAAAGGATGCTTGTTTGGGTTTTCTGAAGGTCAATCCATTGTTTGCATCTAAGAAGAGAGAGGGAGTTAGTGAGGTATTTACTTAGTATAATAAATATAGAAACAACTTTTTTGGGTAATAGAAATATCAATGAAACACCAAATGGACCACATAAAATAGAAACAAAGACAAACTTTGAGCATTAAAAACATGTTTACACCTAAATAAGTTTTAAGCTTTTATCTCCAATAAATGCTTATTTTCTAGTTGGAAACCTGCATCTCTACGTTGGGATGATTATCTACTATTTGATTCACATATCACTTTGCTATTGCTATTACACCAAATGATCTCTGTGATAATTGATGAGAAACAAGAATTTTTTGTACTTTACCCTCTTAACAAAATAATTCTGNCCCAAAAAAAAAAAAAAGAGAGAATAGAAAGAAAGAAAGGGAAAAAAAGGAATATTGGCAGGAAGTAGAAGGATAAAACTCTTAGGAGCTGTTTGAGAACTATTGGATTGGCTGAACTGAAATCAACTTTTTTATAGTGAATTTGATAGTCATTTAATTTAATGGAATATTTAGGAATAATGAGGTTTCCCCATCAAACCATTAAGCATATAAGGAGCTCACTATTGCTTTAGTGTTTATACATTGACTAAAAGACAAAACCAATGAACTATTAGGTACAAGTAAATAAGTCATCACCAAACAGTCTCTTGGGATCATGACATACTACTTCAGTATCACAAAGTGTATATTTGTGTATATATAGCTAGGATTGATATATTTCTGGCATTATAATATATCTGAAGTTTGATATACAGATTAAATATGTTTGCTAAAGTTTATTGGTAACTTTTCTATTTTGATAGTTTTGATCATGGTGAATATGATATTTGGTGTTTTTTAATACTTCTAAACCAATGTTCTGAAACAAGATTGATCTGATTGACTGGATTCAACCAGGTTCACTTGGTAGAGCCACTTCAGTTTAAGTTATTTTCAGTTCTGTACCATAAGCATAACAGTCAAATGCTTGTTTATGTTCTTTTTTGTATAGATCCATCCCAACTTACTTGGGGCTGATTGCCAGATTTGACACTCTACACATAACCTCTATTTGTAGTGGTTGACAAGGAGAGGGAGACCAACTTTTCTTCCCATAGGATCACATTCAAACTTTTAGGGTGCAAATGGATTGGATCATGATCCGATCCTATTTGGTCGAATTTGGATCACCCCTATTCAGATCTTCATATCGGATCGGATTGGATAATATGATCCGATCAGAAATCGGATCAGATTTAGATCACCCCTATCCAATTTGATATATTATATATTTATAAATATATATAATACATATATATGTGTTATTTATTTATTTACAAATATATTTTTTATATCATATTTTTATAAAATTGTTATATTATTTTTTTATAAAAAAACATATATATGACGAAAATAATTAAAAATATTTGTATTTTTTGTTTTTACTTTATTTAAATTAATATATTTGATTTTTCTTTCAATAATTTATTAAATTTTAAAGAAAACAAGTCGTATAGGATCAAATCTGAAGATCTGACTTACCGATAGGATTCGAATTCAAATTGAGTCCTATCAGATCGGATCAGATCCGACATTGTTCATGTCGGATTGGATCCAGCATGAATAGTATCAGATCGGATTCAAATATACCCTGATTCGAATCCGATCCGATCCATTTGCATCCCTACAAACTTTCTCTTCTTCTGCTACGCACACATCAAGACCACCATATCCTGACTGATTTCATAATACTTCCAAAATACAATGCTTCTCTTCTATATGAATTTTCAACTCCAATGTGGTTTGACTCTTTTCCCAAAAAAAGAAAATGATTTCTGCGATTCTAGTTTCATATTTGAATAAACAGCATTGCTTTAGTAAGACAATTCTGAATCATTTCGGAAATCTTTCTACATCAAAAGATGTTAATTATGCAACTTCATGTGTTTGCACATATGCCCATTAGGAAGAAATGTGACATATGTTCGTTAAGCGGTTCTTTCTGGTTCATGGATTTGCTTGGCTTCAGCATATGTTAATTTAAAATGGCATACTTGGCTGCCTACTTAAAATAGGTCCTCTTTTCATTTGCTTTGTTTTTAGAAGGAAAATGTAGGTAAGCTTTTAGTATTTTTTTATCATGTTCTTTCTAATTTTTTCATTATTCCATCCCAACAATTGTGCTTCCACTGCCCTCATTTTTAGAGTTGAATATTTGAAAAAAAAATAGCAAAACAAAAAAATGCTACCTTGCAGTATTATACAGTAATCGTAGATTTAGAGGCTGGCTAGGTTGGAGAGATCTACTGAAATGGTGGGAAAAGAAAAAGACATGAGGTGGTAAGAGAAGAATAACCACCTCTTGATAATTATATGGTCTATTTTACTAGTATTTGACTTTCAAAGAAACTTTAAGAATTGAATTCAAACATAACCACCTCTTGATATTTTGAGAGTTAATGATGGTTTAATCACCTCTTTATATGTTTGCTATGTTTCTTGTGTTACCAGAAGACTTGGCATTATAGAACAATGGAGGTTGCAAATTTTTATAGAAATCTATGACAAACCTGTAACAAACTCATATGTGTTGATTCCTTGAATTCAAATTTTCTTGTTTGGGCTTAGGTGTTATTTCTTTCTCTCAAACAAGATTATGTACTCTTATTAGCAGGTTTTGGGATGCATTTTTGAAGATGTTGAACCTCAAACTTCTAAGTTGATAGTAACAATAGGCAATACTGTTCTATGTTTTGTGTGGTTAATGCATATAAAAATTGTATCTACTGTCCATCAAATCCAGGTGTGTGGGTGTGTTGCATCAATTCTTCTGTGTTTACATATGCTGCCTTATGTGGCCATGCCCAGTTTGGCATGGGTATTTCTATATAATTTTAGGTGCATGTATGAAGATTAATGTTGATAAGTTGTCTGTAATTTCTTTCAAGAACTTCAAATTAAATATCGTGTGAACAGTATGGACCACCTTGCATTTGTTGGATGTTTTCAAATCTGTAAAATGATGAACCACCCTACAGTCATCTAACAATCTAGGAAGCTAAATATCATGTCACAGTATGGACATGGATGCATATCTTTTATGCAAGAAATTGAAATTACATCTGCAAATTTATCATCCATAAATTTGACACATAAGTTTAAGTCTATGTAGTTACTTGGTAGCATCATGAAATGTGCTTGCAAAATAGTTAATTAAGCTAATCAGAAGTTTACAACTGGAAGACAAACTTCTCTCATTTGTACTTAGCCTTTATCCTTTTTTTCTCTTAAAAGATTTTATACTCTTCTCAACAAACTTCTCTCGCTTGTACTTAGCCTTTATCATTTTGGTTCAGTAATGCCCAAGAGCTTTATTTATAGCCAGTTTTATTATTTTTTTATTACATATAAAGTTGGACATGCCCATGCAACAATGTGCTCATGCTAACTAAAACCTTAACCCTGAACTAAAGACACTAATCAGAGAGAGAGAGAGAGAGAGAGAGAGAATCAAAGCAATAAGAGTTCATTTGCTTAGTGTGAAGCCCAACATGCCAGACCCAACTTTTGAAAAGGCTTAATAAGGTCAAGTCAGTTTATGTTAATTACTAATAGTTAATTTGGTATATGGCAAAGATGATTATGTAAATAGAGAGAGAAAGAGTTCTACAAGCATGGAAATCTTAAAACAAGAAGACAAACTTGGGGAAAAACAGGTTGCAAAAAAAATCATGTCCAACTCTAATTATTTTCCCACAAAACAAACATAGGAATTGTATAACCAAATGATGGAAAGTGAAATTTACACACTTTCTCATCCCATCCTAACCAAAATTTTCCACAAACTAAATGGAGCCTAAGTGATGGTCACCTCTCAGGTGGATATATAACTTTCCCACCTAGGAAAAAAGTTGTCAACAATTGGATGAGATAAAATTGTCCCTTTTAATAATGGCTTTTTACGACTAAAATGATCATTGTCTTAGTTACCTGTAGAGATGGCAACAAGGAGGGTTTTGTAAATTCTAAACCCTATCACCTCCTTAAACCTCCCAACTTGTTCCTACCCCAAAACCTATAACGGGTTGGATTTTGAGAATCCAAACTCTCCTTGCATATGAAAATGCAAAACCCTCCCCAACCGTACCCTCCCTGCATTCAACGATAGAAGTGGGTTAGGTTTAGAATCAGCATCTAATTTTCTATTGTTTCTTGTTATATATAAACAATAAATATGTAAACTAAAACACAAACAAGAAACAAAGTTTTCAATTATTTGATTAAAACTTGTAAAAAACATATAATTATCAATTATCTTTCCTATAAAATTCAAAAGATTATTAAATTCAACACCAAATACTAAACTTTACATGCTGTCCAACAAAATGTGGGTTGGGTTTAGCTTAACACCTTACCTCTACCTGTAACCATGCAGGTTGTAGAATATTAAAACTTGTCCCCGCCCCCAAACACATCTTTCAAGGAAAAAACCCACTCCACAAGGGTGGGTTCCCACCGGTAGGATAACATCCCTAATTTTACTTGCATAAATAACTTAATGAAAATCGAATGGGGGACTTGAGATTGAATCCCGCTTGGGTTGGGGGATGGGCTATCCCGTTGTAGCCCTCCAAAAGAAATAAAAAATAATAATAAAACAAAAAAACAGTGGGAAACATACGGACAAGCTCAATGCATATTTCTGAACTTCAATACCAAACTATAAACATTCAAAAGGTCAAAATATACACCACTGCCCGTCCATGAATTAGCATCAATTTCGAGCTGGCACCCACCCCAACTGTACTTTGAACTTAAAAATTCTGACCCTAAGCTGAACAATCCTCATTTTCCCAAACAAAAAACGGGCGTTGATACACACATTATTGTTTAGAGGTTTTTACCATTCAATCCACTCTTAGAAACCTAATACTCCACTCTATGGATAGACTGAATCCTGACCGTGGATTGATGTCGGATCCATGGGCAGGATGCGATTTATAGGGAGGCTACTAGAATACTAGGAGGGGCTGCAATTCAGATATCTGAGGGGAATTGCATGTTCAAAAATCCCTATTTATTTTGGATGAGATACACCTGTTAATTGGTTATCAGTTTTTCGGGTATCGTATATTGTATGATTTGTATCCTCCTCCTCCTCGAAGCGCTCTTTTTTATGTCGTTTTTCTCCCGCCAAGTTTTCTGCCACGAAAGCATGTTACGTGGCAGGTGTATGGTCTCTCTCTTCTCCGGTGTAAACTTCCCTCGTTTTCTGTAACTTCCCGCTTCCTTCCCAAATCTCTCTCCCCATTAACCTTGATAGAATTCAGGAGGAAGAAGTACTGCTTAGGGTTTTCTGATTTTTCCGATCAGCTTTTTTTCCCTTTTTCCCTTAATTTTCAAGAACTGTACACTGAGAAAAGAAGTCAAAGCATTAGTAGGAATATTTGTTGTCTTATTATTTTCAGTGATCAAAGAAATCCTTTCTCTGGGTTTTCTCACCATTTTTTTCTAGCTGGTTCTTGTACTCAGCAAATAAAAAAAAAAGCTATTTAAATCCTTAATTTTGCATTGTGTTTTTTGATGATTGGATAAAACTCTGTCCTTTTATTAGATCTTTTCAGATTTGTATTGAAGAAGGAAACATTGAAAGTGCAAAAGAATTGGCAGTCATGAGCATCACAGTGAGTTCTGTAGAAAAGGGGGATTCTAACAAGGTATCATCCTTAAATTTTCTTGACAAGTCTGTTCAAAATTAGCTCTACTTGATTTTAGTTGCTTATAGTCCACAGACTAATTGCTTTTGGGAAATTTGGTGGAGTTTTAATTTCTTTTTTTCTGAAATGATTGACAAGGTGTGCATGGTCATCCTAGGGGTACCCTTGCATGCCCAAATTTTTCCATGATTGAGTTGCAATTGTCTGACCAGTCAGCCATCTTGGATTGACCTGTTTAAATTCTACTCAGATTCAAGTTGGGTTTAGGTTACACAATCAGGATGGAATTGATGGACCAAGCTAACCCATCTAGCCCGCCTAGTTTTTCAGATTACAATTTCTGGAATAATTCAGGTTCAAGATATTTTTTCTTTACCCTTTTTAAGCTTTAATCCAATGGATTGCATCCATTATTATATAAAGCACTTCATGGCCAAGAGGTCAATGTTTGAGAATGGTGAACTTTGGTTCCTCCTATGTCTTGGTAAGTGCTTCTCTATCTTGTTACTAGTTGAGGGAACTGGTCCGAGTTTTATATGGGTAATTGTAATTTCAACTCTCCAATCATACTTGTTCAGCAGTTTTCCTAATCCAGTGTTGCAGGGATATGGATACAGGAGTTAGAATCCGATGCATGTCCAAGAATCTGACTCGGCAAGATCAGAAAACATGGACTTGTGGAAATGTCTATGGAAAAATATGTACTGTTAAAATAAAAGTAGTTCATATATATATTTTTTAATTCTAATATCATACCTGCAAAAAAAATGTTGACTTTATTACTAAGGCCCTGTTTGTTTGCAGTGCAAATCTCAACCGAATACAAATTTGCACCCACCTCAGCTTTACATCTATTTGTTTGTGGCTATGTTTTTCACTACTCACAAACAAACAAAACAAAGTCAAATATGAAACAAAATTAAACTAGAATCCACACCCCATATTCGCTTCCTTGCATTGATTATCCTATTCAATTTTGTCTATATAAAAAGATGTTGCCTGTTATGCAAATCCCTTTGCATTAACAAAAACATTAATTGGCAATGTTGTTTATCTTTAATAAATAACAAACTCCTAATAATATGCATATGAAGGTAAATCACAGGTTTGGAGCTTCAAGCCTTAAACAAGCTCATGCCTTAATCTAAGTATTTTAACTGCTTTTACTGGTTCCTTGGTCAACGCAATCAATATTTTATCCTTAAGTTGATTACCTCCTTTATGAGCAACAATAATATCTACAAAATTGCCAGTTTCCCAAGCTATGGCTTTGGAGTACCTTTTACCACTTGGCCTTCATTTGACATTTCTGGTAATTCATGTTAGGATTCTTTAAATTGAATATTGGTAGTTTAGCTTGTAAGATCTTCAGGACTTACTCTTGGACTTTATTGAAAGAGGAATCTCCTGTGCTAACACTAAAGATGGCATTTAAATTAGAAGGCATACTGTTAAAGCTTCATTCCATAATCTTTTTTTTGTAGAAGCACCTTAAATTTTCTTGTTGCCTTTCATTGTCAATGTGCTTTGGTTGGGCTATATCTGTTCAGCCGCATTGTTCCATATTTGAATAGGGTACTGCTACTTGTAATATTATGCAGTTTGAGCTATATTGTTATTTCCTACAACCATCATTGCAGCATCCTAGAAATTTGAGTGAAAAATATGCCGTAACATCAAGAAAAGAATTCCCTATTTTTTTGGATTAACTCCTTTTAACTGTCTTACCTCTTCAAATCTTCGTTTATCTTGTCGTAAAAGGTTTATGGTTTAGTGAGGGCCATCTAAACCTGGCACCAATCAATCGTCTCTTGCTCAATGTATACTAGTAGCTGAATTTTATGCTGATAGGTGAAACTGACATCATGTTATCAGTGCTTTTAGGGTATGACCTTTCAGTTCTAAAGCAAATTTTAGGAGAAAGTGGATTGCAATTTACATCAAATACAACATAAAGCTTCTGTATTAATCATATTACTATAGGAGACAGATATATTTGCTTTATAGTTTATAGTTCAATATACATGGTTAGCAACTTCCACAAATACTAATTCCACTGATTTGTTTAAGGTATAAAACCTTCATAATCTGTAAAATATCAGGCAATATCTACCTCCTCAAGCTCCATGCATCGTAAGATGAGGATACAATAAAATATGATGTGTAATTGTATATATGTATGTATATATTACACCAGAGAGATAGAGAGTCATCGCCATTTTTCTACTAATGGTTTGATGAGGGTGCTGTTTGATTGCAGGATATGAATGGGAACTCTTCAAGTGTGAACTTCATTGTTATTTTTGTCTTGGGTGAGCATTTGATCCATTCAGATTTGCAGTAGTCATCAATTTGTTTAACACCATATTGCCATGTTGGGTGTATTGGTGTATATAATCTTCCATCTCTCTAAACATGAACCTTTCAATGGGTTTGCAATTTGTGGCGTCTACTTATGCTAATAGGCCAGGTTTATTCAGCATGTTTGGGTGCTGAAACAAGCTGTAATGAGTAATACTTCAGGCCAAGCTTAGCATGGTAAATCAGTTTGATATGTATCATCAGGCTAGATCTAGGCCACAAGTGGACCAACTTCAAGATTAAACACAATATAATCACCTGTTACTATTGGATGCATATGTAGGTATGTACATGAATGAATTCATAATGTGACAAACATACATATACATGTATATAATGTATGCATGCTTGTGTGTTTCTTTGTTTACTTTGTTTAATGTGCATTTGGACAAGACATCACATCAAGGAAAGGTGTTTGTACAGCACATTGAAGAAGTTTCATAGAAAAGAGGAAGAAACCAAAAGATAGAGAAAAATTAGGACAGAAGAAAGAACCAAAAAAAAAATGTAGGGGAGAGAGAGAGAGAGAGGGCAATGGTGTTGCTACCAAGAGAAATGACTCCTCAAAGCACTAACTCCAAGAACTGCAGAAACATTCATTATATCATTTTTCACTAACTTCAAAAAGGAAATGTAGGGGGAGAGAGAGAGAATCATCTGGTTATAGGATCTATATATGTTTGTCATGGGTTGAAGATTATAAGTCCAAAGATTCATCAGATCATGATACCAGACACTAGAGATACTTGGGAGAAGATTGAGATGGCCATATGCATGCCTGGTTGGAAGGTTTTTAGAGGTATAGATTGGACTAACAGATAATGGAGCATGTTCTCACCCATGAAAGTAAGAATATTGGGAGGAGGTTTTGTTCTTATCTATATTTAATAGCAGAAGAAAAGTGATAGAAGTTCTAGAAAAGGAAGCGGCTTTGGTTAGATGTCCAGAACATCATCTTGACTTTTGGTCTCCTTTGATGGGTGGATTGAAAAATGATCATTTTATGAAATGAGTGTGGTTTGTAGTATGTGGGATTCCACCTTATGCCTTGGATCTTCACACCTTAAAAGAGATTGGAAACTCTTTGGGATGATTTATGTTCATGGATGAGAGCAACTTAGCATGGGATGATATCTGACAGGAGACTTAAAGTTTTCAGGAGAGGCGTACAAATTACATATAATGGTGAATGAGAAGACTTATTTATGTGTTACCTTGAAAGACAATTTCTGGTTGCAGAAGAGCGGAAGATAGAAGGCAATGGTGTGATAGGTTACAAGGATAATTTTGGTTATGTAGTTCAGACACGTGGCTAGTGGTTCAGGGGGGAAGAATCTGAAGCGGGTTGAGTTTTTGTCTGCTTTCTCCAAGATGGGCAAGAAGGGTGAATTGTCAGTTCAGTCTCGGGTAGATGGTAGAGGCCATTTATTATAGGCTTCCATAATTTGGCTGTTGATTGAGATGGTGCAGTGGATTTTTTGGTAACTAGCTTGGGTGGTTGTGTTAGGGGTAGTGAAGATAGTGGATCCCCTCACAAGTACTTAAGTGGGGACCCAAGTACTTCAAAGGGTAGCTTTGGGAATTCATGTGGCATTTTTTTTTATGAATGAAGATAATTTTATTAAGCCAGAAAATCAAGGCATTACAGGAAACCCATGAAGAGGCATGAGCTGTTACCTCTTCTAACAGAGTATTACATCAAGTTAAAAGCAGGAATAAACATAAATAAAATTACAGTGCAGCCGAAAATAAATGTTCCCTTGAAGCCCCTTGCTTAGCTAACCCATCTGCTAAGGTATTTGCTGATCTTCCCACCCAAAGAGTGGTAACAGTCATGCTTCTTGTGAGCCAATTGACTTTCCTCAATAAGTCTCTGTGTCACCATATAGCTGAAGCCGGATCTATCAGCCATCCCACAACAATTTTGGAGTCTCCTTCAATTGCCAAATTCTGAACTCCTAATTGTTCTGCAATCTAAATACCTTGTACAACCGCTAAAATCTCAGCTCTATTAGAGTCTCCTATTCCCACGGGACCTGAAAACAAGGCTAAGATGTTGCTGTCCTTATCTCTCAGCATCCCTCCTATCCCCAATGGGCCTAGGTTTCCTTGGCTGCTTCCATCAAAATTCAGCTTTGCCCAACCTTCAGGCAGAGGCACCCACACTGCAGATTCCCTGTCCTTCCTTGTATGATTATTAGCCACCGCTATCCAATTTCTCCAAATATCATCAAAAGAAAATGTATGAAAGAAGTCCATAGTTCTTAACCAATGGATGGCCCTAGTCAAGATACAATCCTCTACAGCCTTAATGCTTCTTTCCTTTTCTTTGAATACCCTTGCATTCCTTTCTTCCGAGATTGTCCACAAGGTCTGCTCTAATACATCTCCACATAGTTTTTCCTTTTTTTGTAGGCCATACAAAAAATGAAGGATCGAACAACTGACTTAAGTTTGTAGTCAGATTCCACCTGCACCTACACAAAGCAAAAATCCAACTCCAAATAGCACTAGAAAAGGAACAAGATACAAGTAAGTGGGAGCAATCCTCACCAGTAGCCCTACAGAGTACACACCAGGTAGGGGACAAACACATGAAAGGCCTTTTCTTCTGCAAGCAGTCCAAGGTATTGATCATTCTATAAAACACCTCCCAGCAAAAAATAATAATTTTAGGTGGAACTGGTCTAGACCATATCTCCTTGGTCAGAAAACCCAACTGTCCCGGGGGAAGAGCAAAGGGCCTTAAAAAAAAAGCACAAGTGAAGTAACCTTTTGGATGAGGGGACCATAATCTCACATCCAAACTAAGAGGGTCCAAAAAAGGCATTGCCAAGAAGAGACAACCGATCTGAAACACTACTAAGTTCATCATCCCTCAAGCCTCTAAGAAGACCAAAGTCCCAACTCAAGGATGAGGGTGAGGTAAGAGTTGGGAGAAAATGAGAGATAGCTTTTTCCTTGTAAAGGGAAAGGGAATAGAGAGACGGGAACCGGTCCTTAAGGGAAAGGGAATTCACGTGGCATTATGAGTATAGGTTATTTTCAGATGTATGTTGCATTCGATCACAAGGTAAAAGGCTCATAAGTAAGGTAATGGGAATGCTCATGCATCAATGGTGGAGAGTGGGGAAAGAAGTCTCAAGTGGAAGTGTGGTGGTTGGTAGTTAGGCCAATTCAAGGTGAACATGTCAGTGGACGACTTCTCTCCTCCTTCGTCAGTGAGTGTTGGCATCATCATCAGCTGATCCTCCTATGGTTAGCTTGAACAGGGGAATTGATTAGACATTATCATGCTAGGGCTAGTGGTTATGGCTTGAATGGTCCCACCATCTAGTTTACCTGCCCAAACCACATGAATAAAAAGATTAAGAAAGTACTGATTAGCCACACCCTTTTTTGATAATCTGAATATGTCTTAGGAGTCAAGAAAATAATTCTATTTGGAACCAATTAGTATATGGTGGTACTTTTGTCTTTTAAAAACAGTACTCTATAACTATTAACTAGGAGTGTTCCCCATTTGTTGAAATTGGGAAGTGCCCAATTTACCTATAAGATTAAAAGGAAAAAAACAGAGAAAATAAAACTTAGCAAAATAATACATCAAACAAGTTTTTTAAAAGGCGTGGGAGGCACACGCTTGGATGCGCACCTCCAGCTGAGGCACCCCCAAAATGCCTTGAGGCGTATGCCAAAGACGCTAACACCTCTGAGGCATACACCTCAGGTGCAAGAGGCGTGTGCCTCATTCGCTTTTTCATGAGGTGTGCTAGAGGTGTACATCTCATGCACACCTCATATAAAAAGACTGAAAAAAAGGAAAGGAAAAGGAAGGGAAAGAAAAAGAAAGAAAGAGAATAAAAAATGAGAAAAAGAAAGAAAAGGAAAGGGAACCGCTCTGGCTCGTTCGCCTATGCTTCGACAAGACCCCCCCCCCCCCTTTCAACTAGTGATATGCATCTTCATTCTTCTATATATAAAAGATTTATATTAAAAATAAAGGAAAAATGAGATCCTCCTTCCTCTTCTTCCTCCTCCCCTTCCTCCTTCCTCATCCCCCTCTTAAGGAGGTTTATGTCTCCTTGTGTTTGGGAGGCTTACGCCTCTTACGTTCTGAACTATGCCTCACCCCTCTAGGTAGTGGAACACCTCACGTCACGCCTCTGCGTTTTAAAACATTGATCAAAACTAATAGAATTTTATGGCACCAATATGTTGACTTCTAAGAAAGCATTAATTCTCGTGCATTGAAATGTAGCTCTTGTATATTACCAAATATTTGTTTTTATCAAGTAAACTGTGGACTGAATTTTAACCCTAATAGCTTTGGTACTGTGTGACAGGACAAATAGTTTTCATCTCTTCATTAAGAAGATCATTTGGAACATAAAGATAGAAAAAGAAGCAAATAGTTATGGAAAAGAACCATTATCATCTAAGCCTTGTCCCAACTATATGGAGTTGGCTACATGAATCCTCATCTTCCATTCCATTCCATTATATATTGTGGAAATAAACCATAATATATCCAAATGCCATCACACTAGCATCATCTTTGCTCTTCTACTTCTAGTCCTAGTATTTCACAACATGGTATGCTTCTTACCTTTGATTCTGCAGCTTGTTAGCTGATGGTAGATTTCCTGATTGTGATAAAGTATTCTACAGGTGGTCCAGGCAGTGGCAAGGGCGCTCAATGTGCAAACATTGTCAAACATTTCGGATTTACCCATCTTAATGTTGGAGAACTTCTTGAAGCAGAAAGCAAATCCAACTCTGCAAATGGGTGCATAGATCACATGCTTTTCTGTGTCATTTGCATGGCAAAAACCAGTTGTGAATGAATACTGAGGTTTCTTGTTTTATTACTGATTGAAGTTCAACTCTTTTGTTTTGCAGTGAATTGTAGGTTTTATTTGTCATGAAAAGCTTCTTTTTAATCATTTTGACCTGGTAAATCTCTTGTTACTTTCTTTTGTGCTTCAGAACCATGATCAAGAACATGAAGGAGGGAAAGCTTGTTCCTAGCGAGATAACAGTTGAACTCCTTCAGAAAGCAATGCAGGCAAGTGAAAACAAAAAATTTCTTATAGATGGCTTCCCTCGTAGTGAAGAGAATCGTGCAGCCTTTGAGAAAATTGTAAGTCTATTATTGCTTCCCCAATTTTATAAGTGAAATATTGAGATTTAATTCTTAATCCTTCAATATAGATCTCTGATTGCAATCTCTCCAATCTGTGTCCTTTTTTCTTCTACATATTGATAAAATCCTAGTGCCATGTTGCAGGTAAGAATTGAGCCAGAATTTGTATTATTCTTTGATTGTCCAGAAGAGGAGCTCACAAGACGCCTTTTAAATAGAAACCAGGTTAGATGGCTCTGTCTTCCTGTTTCCAAAATTTATATTGCATGTCATGACTACATCTTCCTTGATGTCTTTGCTTTTCCTCCTTTTCTTGTTTACAAAGGGAAGAGATGATGATAACATAGAAAGCATACAAAAGCGGTTGAAAGTTTATGTGAATCCACTCTACCTGTAATTGATTATTACACCCAAAGAGGGAAAGTTTGGAAGGTAATTTCTACCTCATGTGTGCTTCCTTTAAAATTGTGAAAGTCTTAATTGTAGTACCAATTATATAGTTGGCATACTGGCAAATTTTCCTATGATGATTCTCAAACATATTCCCACTAATTTTAACCCATTACTGAATCTCAATGAAGGACAGGTTTTTATTGGCTTGGTATAAGTTCGCTAAATTATGTACAGGGTGTTGAAATAACAAACTAGCATAATGTTTTTATCAGATTGAGGCTGACAGAACTATGGAAGAGGTTTTTGAGGAAGTCAAGATTGTCTTCTACGAAGCTCTAAAAGGGAAGATTTGATAAGTAAAATCTTGTTTATGGGAGAGGAAACAGAAGCAAGAAATGAGGCGCATTAACCATCAACCTTTTTCCAACCTCAGATAAGAATTGCACATGAAAGACAAATTTTGTAAAGTGAGATATGAAATCTTGATAATTTAAATCTAGGTTGCGTGTTCCTCACCTTTGTTTAGTAGTTATTTCCAAACAGCATTCAGAATGTTTAAGTAAATAAATATTCTACATCACTACATGTATGGATGATTATATTCGCATCAAAACATTTTGAAATACACAACTATATAAAACTAGATATATTATGTCTGTGATAGTTTATACTACGTGATGCTAATAGAATTCATGTCTTGTTAATTATTTGTCCCCATCCCATATGATAGAAAGCATTACACCACATTGCTTTGCTAAGTAGAGTGACATCAGAAAATTGTTAGCATTTCTTCTAAATTTAGAATTTTGATGGATATTATATAATGTTTCCAAGAAGAGCTTTCCTGAGTTAGGTTTGATTCAACTCTTCGTAGTAAGGTTTAAGATGCTCGGCATCATTCTCTTAACCCTCATGCTATGTGTAAGTTCACCAGATCCTTAGGCAGGACTCAGCATGGTTTGGGCCTTCAGAACTTTATTGTATTGAACAAAGATTCCTTTTCTAATGAGCAGGCTGGGAAAAGTACGGGTGCAAATGGATTGGTGGGCAGTTCAAATTTTGATTCATTTATATTCAGATTTCAATTGAATTTGGATTGCAATAAGATAAATAGCATTAATAAATTAAACTCACAGTGATCAAAATAAATAAATATTATTAATTAAATGAACTAAAAATAATTTTGATATTGTATATCATGAATAATTAATTGAAGTAGTTTGTAACTTAAACCTACAACTTATAGGACAACATTCAAACAAATTGTACTAATAAGTGCAATATAAATTTTAAGTATATATAAGCATATACTAAAAATTGATTTGAACCTGATCATGTCAGACACAGTTCGAACGCCTAGTCATATATTATGTGGTAGTAGAATGGTGATGTTTTAAAATCAAGATGGTACTGGTCCTCTTAGCAATGGAGACCCATTTTGCAGAACTGTGATGCTTACACCCTTAACTTTGTGCTAACATCTTCTGTCCAAAGTCATACTTCACATTTTTCCTCTTTTTTTAATGGGTGGAATGGGAAGAGAATGGCTTCATTCATGAAGATTAGAGAAATAATTAGAACGGTCATTTTGTGTCATAAGAGCAAAACATGAATTGAAAACTAATGTTTAAATGGCTGAATTTAAGAGCTGAATATACCAACTTATGTGGTGTTTAGTGCATCTTTCGATCTGCAAAAAGCTCAAAAGACCAAAAAATGGTCTTTTTTGTTTGGTATTGTGTAGACCAAAAAGATGGACACACAGAAAGACAAAAAAAAAACGGAAAATCGGAAAGCTTTAAATGAAGCTTTTGTGTCTTTCCGGGCTGAAAATAATCTTTCCAGCTCTTTTTAACAGCCTGGTAGACCATGATGCGAAGCAAATAGTCTTGGTCTTTAAAGACAAACCTTAAAAGCTTAGTGCATCTGGCTGTTGAAAATACACATGTTTTATCCTAAAAAATTGTAAACGAAAAGAAAATGGTCAAGTAAAATAAAAAAAAAATAGAAAATATATTTTGAAGAATTAGCGGGAATTGATCAGGCAGAAAATTCTAGAACATAGTCTAAAATGTATTTTCTTTTCTGGGAAATGCAAAACATTTAATCACATGCTAAGAGTACAAACAAAAATACATACAGTACAAATACAAAATTTATTAGGAATACAAAATACAAGGTTTTGCACTTTATTCTTTCCAAACTGAGCCTAAAGAGTGGATCGGTGTTTGGAAGTGGTTACTCAATGGAGTACATATTGTATAGAAGTGAATCGAACAGCCGAACACAACCATGGTAAAAATCAAGGACAAGCCACCTTCGGCTGATGTCTCCTTTGTTCTTTGAAATCTCTTCCATTTCTTAAATCCATTAGCGTTCTCATACGTCTCTCAACTTCAGTGACACTGATGAACCCGTCTCCAGATTGATCAATGGGCATATCAAACTTGAAATCATCCACCAATATTGTCTTGTTCAAATGATGCTCTGCATCCAGTGCTAGCTTCGGTACCCTGAAACCAACCATTTCCAATACTGAGTTCCATCCGTGTATTCTCACAAACCCACCCGATGCTTACTGATTCAATATAGCTACTCGTGGTACCCATGATTTCATGAGTTGGGATTTCCTGCCCATGAGAATTCTGCCCACGCCTACCCACAATGCACTATCCCCCGTGAATTGGGAACAGCTTCCTCTACATAATAGGATGAGATGTTCTCCATGTATGACTGCGATAAATGTGGGCAGGAGATCTGGACTCTGATTTCACAACCAAGCCACTCTTTCTTGAATTCATATCTGCGGCCCACACAGTACGCCCCACATGCACATCTGAGCGTGCATTGGAAAAATCTCTTGTATTTGTGGGGCACGCTCTGTGGGGTGCAGAACTGCAGATGTGATCTCCTCTTTCTTTGGTCTGTGATTCAATAAACCATTCTGGCAAGACTCAAGAGAACATCTAGATTAACATTCATTAGTGCTGATCATTTCAACACCTTCTCCTCAGTGGATGGCGAACACTGCACCATCCACAAGAACATCTACGAATTGGCATCGCCACATCGGTGCCCCACACGTGTCCCACAGCCCATTCTAGTTGTGTATTGGGAATATCTCCTCATGACAAATATGAGAAATGTTCTCAATGCACGGTGAGATGTGCATGTGGGGCAATGCTCTGTGGGGCGACAATCTGAACTCAACCTTTGCTTACTCCCCTCAAAACCTATAAGGATTTCCTTCAGCTGTGCTCCTGAATCCACCCAGACTATCAGAAGACAAGAATAAGACACTTCAAAGTGGTTAATCATCAAGCCACATCAAGCACTTAGTACACCACCAGCACCATCACCACCATTTCGAGCTTCTGTTTCCTCCTGGGGTTCAAATATCATCAATGGCCTAATATAAATATAGTAAATAGGTGGTGTCGGACCATCATGTACAGAGAGCCCATCTGCAATGGCTTTACCCGTCATTGGCTTGAGGGAGTCGAATACGTAGTATATATCCTTAGCTTCATTGTAAAGGTGCAATTTGGGCAGGTCAATCCCATTTAAATATTATAATGAAACTATGTAATAATTTTAAAATATTTATTAAAAACATAAAAAATAATTATAATAGATTTAATAATATTTATTTTAGTAATAATTTTATATTTTATGCAATTTATAATGCAATTATGTAACAGCAATATAAATTACAATTTTATGGATTATTCAATTTAATATCTAAAAATTATTTTAAAAATATAAATATTATAACAAAATATTTAACATTATGTAATAACTTTAAAAGAAATAAAATTTAAATAACAAAAAGAAATAAATATTTTATATATTATTGAAGTATTCAAAATTTCAAATAATGAAATATTTAACATAAATAAGCTTTAAAATTTTAAATTAACAAAATTATGTAATAATAGTATAAATTATAATTTTATGGATTATTAAATTTAATAAATAGTTAATATTTTAAATACTTTAAAATATCAAAAATTTAATAACTAAATCATATTTTATATATTATTTCAAAAACAAAAAATAGTTCAAATAACGAAATCATGTTATATCTTTAAAAACATTATCAAAAACACAAAAATAATTCTAATAGATTTAATAATATTTGATAATAAGAATATAAAATGTAAATAATTTTAAAAAACTAAATAATATTATAAATAACTAATTTTTAAATGCTTTAAATATAAAAAAATTTAATACTAAAATATATTTTAAACTTTATTTAAAAAACAAAAGAAATATTAAATAATGAAATTATGTAATAACTTTAAATATTTATAAAAGATAAGAAATTAATTATAATAGATTTAATAATATTCTATAATAAGAATATAAAATATAAATACTTAAAAAAATTAACTATTATTGAAATAGGGAAAGTATATTAAATAACTTAGAGATATTGAAGCTTTATTAGTTATTGTACTTTTCACTATAAATTTTCAATAATTGTTGGAGATTAAACTATTGTTATTTGTTAAAGATTAGACTATCAATTTAGTTGAAATTAGGAGTGTTCACTATGCTGTTTAGTTCGGTTGCGGATTGTTTGGCCATCCAAACTGATTTGGTCGGGTTGGGGAGACTAACCAACCATTAGTGAAAACCGACCAACTTGAGTTATACCGATCAATGTTTTAAAAACCAACTCGGAGACTAACCCGCTTTTGCATCTGTGTCACGGTCACCAAATCAACCATCTTGGTCGAATGGGTTAGACCAACCATTCCACGTTAGCATTTTATATATTTAAATAAATATATATTTATATACATATACAAATGTGCATATATGTATATATGTGTGCAAATACATATTTTATCAATAAATAGTATATAATTATGTTTTACATATAATATATGTATTATTTTACATTTTATTTATATTTTTAATTCATTTTTAATTTTTTTTGTTTATAAAAATGTAAAAATTGTGATTTGAAGACAAAAAAGGTTTTTTTTTTGAAAAAATAGCGGGACAAGGCACCCATGTCACCTTAGAATGCATGATCTTGAAAAGTTACCCAAAATTGAGAAAAAAATATCACATCAATCAGACATCGGAGTGCAAAGTTATGGCCTCCAAAAGTTTGCACATGCACTAAGCATGCAATCTGTAACCTAGTAACTGATTCAAATAGGTCAATAGTTGAACTCTCCAAGTTGGGTGGTTTTTTACCAAAAGGCGAGTTTCAATAGAATTAGACTCAGAATCAAGGTTAAGTGATGGTTCGAATGGTTTAACTGATCGGGTCAATGGTAGGTTGAAAACATTGGCATTGGTTTGGGCCAGTTTTCAATTTGGTTGGTTGGTTCAAAAGATTTAAACTTAAAAATTAAATTTCATTTAAAAAATATAATAATATTATTAAAAGAATAAATTTAAAAAATTAAGTTTATACTATAAAATATATTAGACTAAGAAATATGGGAATTTTCTACACTTTCTTGTATTAAAAAAATTGTATTTAAAATATAAATATCAATATATATATATATATATAATTGGGTCAGATCAATTTTGGTCAGTTTACAAATGGTCAAACAGAAACTAACCTGATTTGGTCGGGTTGGGAAATTGCTAAACCGAAACCGATTGAAAATACTAAAAAGTGACCAAC